GGAAAATAGCGTGACTGTGAAAATAGCTCGACCATAACGACATTTACGTGATCTGTCTTAGTCAGACGCCAATATTATGTCAAGCAGTTCCGCTTTCGACAATCAATTTCTCTTCTTCATCGTGCTACCTTACGTTTTATTAAATCGAAGTCCCTTGGATCAATTTTGGGTAAGGTGAGTAATTTTGCATTGGTTATTCAGCTTAACATACCCACAGATAAAATAAAATTTAGGATAATTATTTGTCGAAGTTCCACTCGTACACCACACATTACCGTTTAAAGAATTTGATGGCCTCGGCATACAGAACTATCGTCACTGTCTTGAGTACATGTTGGGTGCATGGTGTAGAATTTGCGGTGATGAAAAGAGTTTACTTGTTATGACCATCTGGTTCTTCGAAACCTTTATTATTCGCGTAAGGATCAGAAATGTTTACATTTGCGAGTACACTTCCTTGTACGTTTCCGCGCAATCATGGTCGCTATTTCGTTAAAAATACACTCATTAAAGGGGTTGTTAGCACTGATTCCCTAGCCTGAATAATACGCCGATCACGGTGGGTCATTCGTTGTCCAAAATCAAAACGAATGAGTGTTTCATATTTGAAACAGGAATCAAACATCAAACGAATGTTCATTTGCAAATGATTTGTGTCCTTTAATGTCTGGGTCATCATTCATAGCGGGGATTCATCGCTTTCTGCGCAAAAGTAAAACCTTATCAATCCTAACCGTGCCCAACTTAAAAATTCACAAAAACACAAAAATTCTTTTTGGTAAAGTCCTAAGAGGTAAAAATTCTCCGAAAAAAGACGGCCAAAGAGGGAGAGGTTTCATTCAGAACTAGACTTTGAACACGGACATACTTCTGGTCGTCTCTCGTTACTTTTCGGTGATCAGATAGTGAAGCAAGGCGACGACCGGAAATACTTTATTATAAGAAATTAACCCTCCATGAAATTAACGCGAATCGTTAAAATTCGCGTTAATTTAAGTCGCGTTAAATTTGTTGAGCATTAATTTCCTCGACGTTAATAAAGTGCAGCGTTAATTTCCGCGCTCCTAATTTCCAGTATTTTAACACCAATTTTGGAACCTGTCCAGATATTCTTGACACCTAAAAAACATTAACTACAAGCTTTCTTTCTTTCCATTTACCCTTTAATTTTTATCTTTCACAAAAGCTAAGGCGAAGGTTTACAGTATTTCGAGTTCATCTTCATCGTTGTCGCTGTCAGAAGTGATGTCAGCTCAGTTTTGTGCAGTTTTGAATGTTGAAACCTGTTGAAATAAATTTGTTCCAGTTGTCATCATCAACTGTGTCTTAATCGCGTTAATTTCCTTTATTATGAAATTCTACATCCCCTTTCACGTTAATTTTCTTTATTCTAAAGTCGTTTTCCATTAAATTCGCGTTAATTTAAGTCGCATTAATTTCCAATACCTTAATTTCATAGAGCGTTAATTTCTATAATAAGGTACGTTAGGCCTCCCACGCAGACGCGCGTTCTTTGGGCTTCGTCACGAGTTCACAACGTTTCGATCGGGGGGTACAACGAAAATGGTATGCGGGGAGGCTCCACCCCGAGGTTCGACCCCTTAACTACCCTTTTATATACCGTTTTTGACAGAAAAGTCCCCACTTTCGTATACCTTCTATTGATAAATGATACCCCTTTCACACACCAAGTATAGAACTTTGCATCCCTCTAAAGGGGGGAATTTCATATATCCCATGATGCTTCGTGCCAAATTTCTGTCTTCTCTCCGCGGTGGAAAGAGAGTTCGGGGGTTTCGAGGGAGACTTTCAACGACCTGAATTTCAAGATGCAGCTCATCCAAGGTAAGTTTCAATGAGCCCTGTTAATCTTTGGTATCTTATTAATAATGTAAAATGGTTCCATGGTCATTTCACGCATTATTGCTCCCGTGTACGACCCTGTTAAGCCATGCTGTTTTAACTCGTTAGTGAATATTTTTTTAGATGACTTTCAATCTTCGAAAACTGTCTTTATTCTAGCAAGGTTTAGCCCTAATAAATTATTTAAATCGGCGGACAAGGGGGGCCTGATATTAGTTCCACGCTCCGACCTCTTTCGACCTCGCGATTTTTATGGGTTTGATCGTTTTGAAATGTCGCATTTTCTGCCCTTTCTCCGCTAAGATGCAAGACGAAGGTTTCAATTTCTTTATGCTAAGTCCTGCGAAGATTGGACATTTTTTTCTTGAATTCGCTCTTTTTTCGCCGATCAAAGCACAAATATTATCTCTTGAGGGTATGATGAATGTTTAAATTCAATGGTTTATAGTTATTAATGATTTTTTGTCTCATTATTTTAGGTAAAATTGGTTTCTCTTGGTGGCTTCCGGTCGCAACCGCGCGTGGCGAACTTGAAATATACAGGCCAGCAAATGTCATGGAATAGCATGCCGTAGGACCTCAACCGGCGTGTAAAACCTTTTAAGACATTTTGATAATTCTTTTAGGATCCATTGTAGTGAAGAAGTGGGTGTTTTTGTATATGTATTTTGCCATTTCTTACTAAAGCTTTTTTCTGTTTATGTTTGGCAATGATGCTTAGCTGGTGTTGTGTTACGAAAAATATAGATATGTCTTTGTTATTTTTATTGTTTGTTGGAGCTATTTCCCTCCTTTGAATTTTATCTCTGATAGACGTCACTTTGCACCAGGAGCCGATTACCCGGAGCCTCCATATGTGCTCCTGTTTGCACTTTAACGGTCTCGGTATTTTCGACTACATAAGCCGAGCTTGTTGAAGTAAAAGCATGTGCGGTCACCGTACGGTTGATGTACTCTGATGTACTGCATCGAGGAATTATTGAACTGACAATATGAACACCGCGATCACCAACAAGCGAAGAGAACTCTCACACCTAGAATATGTATTTACTTCAAGACAAGTACGTGGAAATCGCTTGTAAATCCATGGAGAGCTTTATCGAAGCACGTTAAAACAGGACGTACCGAAGCAGAGACCTTCCTCGCTAGCTTCTAAGAACATTTGTGTGGACTCCGTTGCTATCGTAAGGCTAGTTAACTCATAATCGGCGGCCGAAACACTCTCTTTGCCTGAACAAGAGATATATTTGGAATAGTAAAACGAAAATCGTAAATAGATCGACACAGCAAAGGTACAGAAAGTCTTATCGGCAAAACAAGTCGCTTTGCACTGCTGTTCAATTGTCACGTCCCTGTTGAACTGATAGCATCACGTGCGTTCGGCAGCTTGATAATATAGTATGAAGCGATGCATCATGGGATATATGAAATTCCCCCCTTTTGACCCTCTCAACAACTGTAAATGCACTTTCTTTAAAATATCATGAATAAATCCAGGAGCCCATCAAATGGATCCATTTGATAGGCTGCTGATAAATCACAAAACCAGAACGTTTCCTCAACTTTTTCACTGCCTTAAAATGCACCTGTTCGCCCTTTTGAGCCTTTTTACCGACGAAATGGCTAATTTCCCTACACATTCATATACTTCAACAAGTGAACTCGCTAACATTTCATTTACCTGAAAGCTGAAAAAGGAAACCCTTTGGGGAGGAGCCTCCCCGTATTGGCCATTATAGGGAGTAACTTCCCCCCCGGGGCCGGGGGGGGGGCGTGGGCATACAATTGCAAGGTCCACGGGTACTCAGTCTAGGAGTGAAAGGGTTAAAGTGCAAAGAGAAATTTTCGTGTACCGTATTTAAGACCAATCTCAGTGGCAAGAAAATCAATGAACTTGCAGAGAACTTTGTATAACCCGCTTTGTTCTCTTTTGCTATGTGATTGTCATCTCCCCCCGCACTCTAAACCTGTCTATTGGACGGTGGTGCTACCCGTCGTCCTCCTCCCCACCAATCTCGACTCGAGAGCCTTTTTTTTTCAGCCGTGCAAAGAAAAGAGCTCTGGAGTCCACAGAGCTTGCATATCGAAAAGAGCGCACTTCTAGACAAACATGTTTAAACTCTTTCCTGCTTCTTATCGCATCCTTCTTCTACTCTACTTTTATATTCTTCTAGGATATCTGTTACCCTCAACTTGTCATCCAAACGAAGCACTGTTCGAAAAGGCCAAGAACTCTTAAAATTTGTGCAATGATCAAACTAATCGTCATTAATGTGTTTGACAATGGAGAAACTAACATCGAATGAAATACATGATCTAGTAGAAGCCCCTTTTCAAATACAAATGAAGGCCCTGCTCTTGTCTTAAATTAAACGACTTTCCACGCAATGTTTGTAATAGACGCCCCTCAATATTAAACGCCTCCTGTCTAAAAAATGCCTTCTCATGACCATTACTCCACAATTCTCGGGAATAGCGAAATATAGCAAAATCATTCAATTCGCTGGTATTTGGTTTATTGCTTGATTGACAATGGTTTGTACATTACATCTTCTTCAACGCCAAGTTCAAAGTAAGGAAAGTGCTCTTTGATATTCTTGATGTGCTCAATACATTAGCATCTTTCGTCGGGCCGGTTCGACCTTGATAGCAAAGTAATTAGTTCTTGAAGCATATTAGTTGTGTTGAGGTTTTTACAGTTATCAGAATAAACGCCACCCACTTACACATGCTCCCTACCTCCACCACCGTCCACCCTTCCTCCCACCACCTCCCACCTCTTGATCCTTAAAATTAAATAAAAGAACCTGGCGTCTATTAGATCATTATTGGTACTGTCGTAGAAACACATTGCTGATTGAACCAGGTCCATGGAAAGCAAGTTGTGTTTGAAGCCCAGACGCAGTCGTTTATCTATCAGCGCAAAACTACAGCTACTTACCTAGCGTCCCGTATTAAACTTAGTTTATCATTAGTTACGGCTTGATTTTCATAATCATTTTATTGAATAACTGTGTTACATAATCAGCGGAGATTCTTGCAATTTTCAGAATGATAAGTAAATATTAATCTTTGGTTTGGCCTGACGAGAAAATAAGCTAATAGGCAATATCTCTTACTAGGATTATAAGTTGGTGATGGAATACTCGCAAGAGCAATTAAACTACTTCAGACTCTGCTACATAGCATTTGATTTGGTTCCAGTGCGACTGCGGCACATTTTCAAAAACGAATGGGATTTCCTTTATAAAGCAACGTTAACTGGAGAATGGAAAGACACGGCACAAAATGGACATGATTTTTACAACAAAGAATCTAAAGCAAGTCGCAAGAAAAACGCCCGAACTCTGGCAATAATCTACAATGGTGACATGGCAGAGTGGGACTGTACCTGTTTGTTTTTTGCCATTCTGTACTCGGACAGCATTGGTAAAACCTTAAGCCCAGCTGTCCGTAAAGAGGTCGATGATATTCGTCAGGTGCGAAACGAGATCGCTCATATCACCGAGGCTAAGTTGACGGATGCCGACTTCCAAGCTTCTGTAGACAGAGTGTTGAAAGCTTTTACATCCCTTGGTCTGGCTATAACTGAGATTCAAGAAATAAAGAACCAGAAGACCTTTCCGACGAAGGAAGTGGAAAAAATAAGGAAGCAAGTTCGTGATCTCCAAGCCGAGTTAGATCAGACAAAAAGTAATCTTCAAAGTACCGAAGCTGCCCTGGTTTCTCTCACACAGGAAATAAATGTGGAACTTCAGCCATTTTGCATTCTCGCATCGTGCCCACCACACGATACTATCAGGCGCTCGCATGATATTGAAAGAATCACTAACGAAATGCAGGAACTTTACAAAAGTTCAAGCCGGGCAGTCAGTACAGTGTATTTGTCAGGAAATCCAGGATGTGGCAAGAGCCAACTTGCCCGGGAAATCGGACAACAGTTCTTTTCTAAACAAAACAATGATCTTATCTTTGTGGCGACACTGAACACAGAAAGCATTGACAAACTTGCTGACTCTTACCTCACCCTTGGGAGACACTTAGGAATAACAGAATACGCGTTGAAAGGCTTAGAATCTATAAAAGAACAGAAACCTATTGAAGCAATTAAACAGCTCCATCGCTTGATTTTGCCGAAGACAAGCAAGTTTACCAGATGGTTGATAATAGCAGACAATGTAATTGATTTACGCTTAGTCCGCGACTTGCTTCCTCAAACTGGCAGTAAAGAATGGGGCCATGGGCAAGTGCTGATTACCACTCAAGATAGTGGTACAATTCCTCAAAACGCTCCTCACACGTATCATGAATCGTTAAGCAAAGGAATGAGGCGGGACGAGGCAGTGGAATTGCTGGAAACAGTATCGCGAATTTCCGAGCGAGTACAAGCAGAAAATGTCGCTGAACTTCTCGATTTTCAGCCACTGGCCTTAGCTGCTGCTGCTTATTTCGTGCAAACTGTTGTGACCAGTGGGTCTTCAAATTATAACTGGAAAGCATACCTTCAAGACATATCAACATGCAGCCAGCGAAAATCGGCCGAAACTGTCCTTGCTAATGAGAGTTCAGCCTACGCTAAAACAACAATGGCCGCAGTAGAAATGGCTATCCAAAGAGCTGTTGAAACAGACGAGGTTCTTCTTCATACATATTCTTTTCTTTCGCTCTGTGCTAACGACGACCTACCACTCGAAACTGTTTTAAAGTTCGTCAAAGCCCAAGTAAAGGACCATCCAGAGGTTTTAATGAACGCAAACATTGTAAGGTCCTCTTTAACTCTTGTTCATTCCGAGGAAGGGGGTGAACGAACTTATTTACGTTTACATAAAATTGTGCATGACGCTTTGAAACGAGGCGAGATAATGAAATCATGCCGGGAGAGTGATCACACCATGGCAGAAGCGGTAAAGGTTTTCAACTCCCAACTTGAAGAAAATTACGAGAATTATGCGTTTTGTAGGAAATTGAGGCCCCACTGTGAATCTTTACTTAAGAAGATGACATTAGACTTTACTTCGGATGAAAGCACTTTTTCAAAAAGGTTTGCGCTCTTCATAGATCTGTATACAGTTATTGATTGGCTCCATAATCTCGCCAACCTCTGTCAAAACAGCTGCTATTTCTTCTTTGCGAAAATTGTGGTCAACTTAGCACATGACCTATTGCGGAACTTAGACGACACTTCAACGGGTGCGTTTGCTCGTAAAGGGAGGGTTCTGAATGTGACTGGCGAAGTGTATCACAGGCTGGGAGAATACAATCAAGCCAAAGAACTCCACGAAAAAGCACTGATAATTCGCAAAAAGATTTTTGGTGAAGATCATGCCGATGTAGCAACAAGTTATGACAACTTGGCATTAGTGTACGAACGCCTGGGAGAATACAATCAAGCCAAAGAACTTCAGGACAAAGCACTGATCATTCGCAAAAAGATTTTCGGTGAAGATCATGCCGATGTAGCAACAAGTTACAACAACTTGGCATTAGTGTATGAAAGCCTGGGAGAATACAATCAAGCCAAAGAACTTCACGTAAAAGCACTGACTATTTACAAAAAGATTTTTGGGGACGATCATGCCGCTGTAGCAACAAGTTACAACAACTTGGCATCAGTGTATGAACGCCTGGAAGAATACAATCAAGCCAAAGAACTTCACGAAAAAGCACTGATAATTCGCAAAACGATTTTCGGTGAAGATCATGCCGATGTAGCAACAAGTTACAACAACTTGGCATTAGTGTATGAAAGCCTGGGAGAATACAATCAAGCCAAAGAACTTCACGAAAAAGCACTGACTATTACAAAAAAGATTTTTGGTAAAGATCATGCCGCTGTAGCAACAAGTTACAACAACTTGGCATCAGTGTATGAACGCCTGGGAGAATACAATCAAGCCAAAGAACTTCAGGAAAAAGCACTGACTATTAAAAAAAAGATTTTTGGTAAAGATCATGCCGCTGTAGCAACAAGTTACAACAACTTGGCATTAGTGTATGAAAGCCTGGGAGAATACAATCAAGCCAAAGAACTTCACGAAAAAGCACTGACTATTACAAAAAAGATTTTTGCTAAAGATCATGCCGCTGTAGCAACAAGTTACAACAACTTGGCATTAGTGTATAAACGCCTGGGAGAATACAATCAAGCCAAAGAACTTCACGAAAAAGCACTGATAATTCGCAAAAAGATTTCCGGTGAAGATCATGCCGATGTAGCAACAAGTTACAACAACTTGGCATTAGTGTATAAACGCCTGGGAGAATACAATCAAGCCAAAGAACTCCACGAAAAAGCACTGATAATTCGCAAAAAGATTTTTGGTGAAGATCATGCCGATGTAGCAACAAGTTACAACAACTTGGCATTAGTGTATAAACGCCTGGGAGAATACAATCAAGCCAAAGAACTTCACGAAAAAGCACTGATAATTCGCAAAAAGATTTTCGGTGAAGATCATGCCGATGTAGCAACAAGTTACGACAACTTGGCATTAGTGTATGAAAGCCTGGGAGAATACAATCAAGCCAAAGAACTTCACGAAAAGGCACTGACTATTAAAAAAAAGATTTTTGGTAAAGATCATGCCGCTGTAGCAACAAGTTAAAACAACTTGGCATCAGTGTATGAACGCCTGGGAGAATACAATCAAGCCAAAGAACTTCACGAAAAAGCACTGACTATTCAAAAAAAGATTTTTGGTGAAGATCATGCCGCTGTAGCAACAAGTTACAACAACTTGGCATCAGTGTATGAACGCCTGGGAGAATACAATCAAGCCAAAGAACTTCACGAAAAAGCACTGATAATTCGCAAAAAGATTTTTTGTGAAGATCATGCCGCTGTAGCAACAAGTTACAACAACTTGGCAGTAGTGTATAAACGCCTGGGAGAATACAATCAAGCCAAAGAACTCCACGAAAAAGCACTGATAATTCGCAAAAAGATTTTTGGTGAAGATCATGCCGATGTAGCAACAAGTTACAACAACTTGGCATTAGTGTATAAACGCCTGGGAGAATACAATCAAGCCAAAGAACTTCACGAAAAAGCACTGATAATTCGCAAAAAGATTTTCGGTGAAGATCATGCCGATGTAGCAACAAGTTACAACAACTTGGCATTAGTGTATGAAAGCCTGGGAGAATACAATCAAGCCAAAGAACTTCACGAAAAAGCACTGACTATTAAAAAAAAGATTTTTGGTAAAGATCATGCCGCTGTAGCAACAAGTTAAAACAACTTGCAATCAGTGTATCAACGCCTGGGAGAATACAATCAAGCCAAAGAACTTCACGAAAAAGCACTGACTATTCAAAAAAAGATTTTTGGTGAAGATCATGCTGCTGTAGCAACAAGTTACAACAACTTGGCATCAGTGTATGAACGCCTGGGAGAATACAATCAAGCCAAAGAACTTCACGAAAAAGCACTGATAATTCGCAAAAAGATTTTTTGCGAAGATCATGCCGCCGTAGCAACAAGTTACAACAACTTGGCAGTAGTGTATAAACGCCTAAGAGAATAAAATCAAGCCAAAGAACTCCACGACAAAGCACTGATAATTCGCAAAAAGATTTTTGGTGAAGATCATGCCGATGTAGCAACAAGTTACAACAACTTGGCATTAGTGTATGAAAGCCTGGGAGAATACAATCAAGCCAAAGAACTTCACGAAAAGGCACTGACTATTAAAAAAAAGATTTTTGGTAAAGATCATGCCGCTGTAGCAACAAGTTAAAACAACTTGGCATCAGTGTATGAACGCCTGGGAGAATACAATCAAGCCAAAGAACTTCAGGAAAAAGCACTGACTATTCAAAAAAAGATTTTTGGTGAAGATCATGCCGCTGTAGCAACAAGTTACAACAACTTGGCATCAGTGTATGAACGCCTGGGAGAATACAATCAAGCCAAAGAACTTCACGAAAAAGCACTGATAATTCGCAAAAAGATTTTTTTTGAAGATCATGCCGCTGTAGCAAGAAGTTACAACAACTTGGCAGTAGTGTATAAACGCCTGGGAGAATACAATCAAGCCAAAGAACTCCACGAAAAAGCACTGATAATTCGCAAAAAGATTTTTTGTGAAGATCATGCCGCTGTAGGAACAAGTTACAACAACTTGGCAGTAGTGTATGAACGCCTGGGAGAATACAATCAAGCCAAAGAACTTCACGAAAAAGCACTGATAATTCGCTAAAAAAGATTTTCGGTGAAGATCATGCCGATGTAGCAACAAGTTACAACAACTTGGCATTAGTGTATGAAAGCCTGGGAGAATACAATCAAGCCAAAGAACTTCACGAAAAGCACTGACTATTAAAAAAGATTTTTGGTAAAGATCATGCCGCTGTAGCAACAAGTTAAAACAACTTGCAATCAGTGTATCAACGCCTGGGAGAATACAATCAAGCCAAAGAACTTCACGAAAAAGCACTGACTATTCAAAAAAAGATTTTTGGTGAAGATCATGCTGCTGTAGCAACAAGTTACAACAACTTGGCATCAGTGTATGAACGCCTGGGAGAATACAATCAAGCCAAAGAACTTCACGAAAAAGCACTGATAATTCGCAAAAAGATTTTTTGCGAAGATCATGCCGCCGTAGCAACAAGTTACAACAACTTGGCAGTAGTGTATAAACGCCCAAGAGAATAAAATCAAGCCAAAGAACTCCACGACAAAGCACTGATAATTCGCAAAAAGATTTTTGGTGAAGATCATGCCGATGTAGCAGCAAGTTACAACAACTTGGCATTAGTGTATAAAAGCCTGGGAGAATACAATCAAGCCAAAGAACTTCACGAAAAAGCACTGAATATTTACAAAAAGATTTTTGGGGAAGATCATGCCGCTGTAGCAACAAGTTACAACAACTTGGCATTACTGTATGAAAGCCTGGGAGAATACAATCAAGCCAAAGAACTTCACGAAAAAGCACTGATAATTCGCAAAAAGATTTTCGGTGAAGATCATGCCCCTGTAGCAACAAGTTAAACCAACTTGGCATCAGTGTATGAACGCCTGGGAGAATACAATCAAGCCAAAGAACTTCACGAAAAAGCACTGATAATTCGCAAAACGATTTTCGGTGAAGATCATGCCGATGTAGCAACAAGTTACAACAACTTGGCATTAGTGTATGAAAGCCTGGGAGAATACATTCAAGCCAAAGAACTTCACGAAAAAGCGCTGACTATTAAAAAAAAGATTTTTGGAAAAAAACATGCCGCTGTAGCAACAAGTTACAACAACTTGGCATCAGTGTATGAACGCCTGGGAGAATACAATCAAGCCAAAGAACTTCACGAAAAAGCACTGACTATTCAAAAAAAAGATTTTTGGGGAAGATCATGCCGCTGTAGCAACAAGTTACAACAACTTGGCATCAGTGTATGAACGCCTGGGAGAATACAATCAAGCCAAAGAACTTCACGAAAAAGCACTGATAATTCGCAAAACGATTTTCGGTGAAGATCATGCCGATGTAGCAACAAGTTACAACAACTTGGCATTAGTGTATGAAAGCCTGGGAGAATACAATCAAGCCAAAGAACTTCACGAAAAAGCACTGACTATTAAAAAAAAGATTTTTGGAAAAAAACATGCCGCTGTAGCAACAAGTTATGACAACTTGGCATCAGTGTATGAACGCCTGGGAGAATACAATCAAGCAAAAGAACTTCACGAAAAAGCACTGACTATTCAAAAAAAGATTTTTGGTGAAGATCATGCCGCTGTAGCAACAAGTTACAACAACTTGGCATCAGTGTATGAAAGCCTGGGAGAATACAATCAAGCCAAAGAACTTCACGAAAAAGCACTCATAATTCGCAAAAAGATTTTTGGTGAAGATCATGCCGATGTAGCAACAAGTTATGACAACTTGGCATTAGTGTACGAACGCCTGGGAGAATACAATCAAGCCAAAGAACTTCACGAAAAAGCACTGATAATTCGCAAAAAGATTTTCGGTGAAGATCATGCCGCTGTAGCAACAAGTTACAACAACTTGGCAGTAGTGTATAAACGCCTGGGAGAATACAATCAAGCCAAAGAACTCCACGAAAAAGCACTGATAATTCGCAAAAAGATTTTTGTTGAAGATCATGCCGCTGTAGCAACAAGTTACAACAACTTGGCATTAGTGTATGAACGCCTGGGAGAATACAATCAAGCCAAAGAACTTCACGTAAAAGCACTGATAATTCGCAAAAAGATTTTCGGTGAAGATCATGCCGATGTAGCAACAAGTTACAACAACTTGGCATTAGTGTATCAAAGCCTGGGAGAATACAATCAAGCCATAGAACTTCATGAAAAAGCGCTGACTATTAAAAAAAAGATTTTTGGTAAAGATCATGCCGCTGTAGCAACAAGTTACAACAACTTGGCATCAGTGTATGAACGCCTGGGAGAATACAATCAAGCCAAAGAACTTCACGAAAAAGCACTGACTATTCAAAAAAAAGATTTTTCGTGAAGACCATGCCGCTGTAGCAACAAGTTACAACAACTTGGCATCAGTGTATGAACGCCTGCGAGAATACAATCAAGCCAAAGAACTTCACGAAAAAGCACTGATAATTCGCAAAAAGATTTTTGGTGAAGATCATGCCGATGTAGCAACAAGTTATGACAACTTGGCATTAGTGTACGAACGCCTTGGAGAATACAATCAAGCCAAAGACCTTCACGAAAAAGCACTGATAATTCGCAAAAAGATTTTTTGTGAAAATCATGCCGCTGTAGCAACAAGTTACAACAACTTGGCAGTAGTGTATAAACGCCTGGGAGAATACAATCAAGCCAAAGAACTCCACGAAAAAGCACTGATAATTCGCAAAAAGATTTTTGTTGAAGATCATGCCGCTGTAGCAACAAGTTACAACAACTTGGCATCGGTGTATGAACGCCTGGGAGAATACAATCAAGCCAAAGAACTTCACGAAAAAGCACTGATAATTCGCAAAAAGATTTTCGGTGAAGATCATGCCGATGTAGCAACAAGTTACAACAACTTGGCATCAGTGTATGAACGCCTGGGAGAATACAATCAAGCCAAAAAACTTCACGAAAAAGCACTGACTATTCAAAAAAAGATTTTTGGTGAAGATCATGCCGCTGTAGCAACACGTTACAACAACTTGGCATCAGTGTATGAACGTCTGGGAGAATACAATCAAGCCAAAGAACTTCACGAAAAAGCACTGATAATTCGCAAAAAGATTTTTGGTGAAGATCATGCCGCTGTAGCAACAAGTTACAACAACTTGGCATTAGTGTATGAACGCCTGGGAGAATACAATCAAGCCAAAGAACTTCACGAAAAAGCACTGATAATTCGCAAAAAGATTTTCGGTGAAGATCATGCCGCTGTAGCAACAAGTTACAACAACTTGGCATGAGTGTATGAAAGCCTGGAAGAATACAATCAAGCCAAAGAACTTCACGAAAAAGCACTGACTATTTACAAAAAGATTTTTGGTGAAGATCATGCCGCTGTAGCAACAAGTTACAACAACTTGGCGTCAGTGTATGAACGCCTGGGAGAATACAATCAAGGCAAAGAACTTCACGAAAAAGCACTGATAATTCGCAAAAAGATTTTTGGTGAAGATCATGCCGATGTAGCAACAAGTTATGACAACTTGGCATTAGTGTACGAACGCCTGGGAGAATACAATCAAGCCAAAGAACTTCACGAAAAAGCACTGATAATTCGCAAAAAGATTTTCGGTGAAGATCATGGCGATGTAGCAACAAGTTACAACAACTTGGCATTAGTGTATGAAAGCCTGGGAGAATACAATCAAGCCATAGAACTTCACGAAAAAGCACTGACTATTTACAAAAAGATTTTTGGTGAAGATCATGCCGCTGTAGCAACAAGTTACAACAACTTGGCATTAGTGTATAAACGCCTGGGAGAATACAATCAAGCCAAAGAACTTCACGAAAAAGCACTGATAATTCGCAAAAAGATTTTTGGTGAAGATCATGCCGATGTAGCAACAAGTTATGACAACTTGGCATTAGTGTACGAACGCCTGGGAGAATACAATCAAGCCAAAGAACTTCAGGAAAAGCACTGATAATTCAAAAAAAGATTTTCGGTGAAGATCATGCCGATGTAGCAACAAGTTATAACAACTTGGCATTAGTGTGTGAACGCCTGAGAGAATACAATCAAACCAAGGAACTTCAAGAAAAAGCACGGATAATTAGGAAAAAGATTTTTGGTGAAGATCATGCCGATGGAGCAACAAGTTATGACAACTTGGCATTAGTGTACGAACGCCTGGGAGAATACAATCAAGCCAAAGAACTTCACGAAAAAGCACTGATAATTCGCAAAAAGATTTTGGTGAAGATCATGCCGCTGTAGCAACAAGTTACAACAACTTGGCATGAGTGTATGAAAGCCTGAGAGAATACAATCAAGCCAAAGAACTTCACGAAAAAGATCCGATTATTAGCAAAAAGATTTTTGGTGAAGATCATGCCGATGTAGCAACAATTTATAACAACTTGGCATTAGTGTACGAACGCCTGTGAGAATACAATCAAGCCAAAGAACTTCACGAAAAAGCACTGACAATTACGAAACAAATTTTCGGTGAAGATCATAAGTATGTAGAAAGAATTCGTAGTGAGTTGGCAGTGGTAAACAAACCGCTTGTACGCAGTCGAGCTGAAGATCGGCAGGAGAAAGCGTGTTGTTTGATGCTATAAATTGTCTTAATTGGCAATTTAGGCTGCGTTGCAGTCTCTTCTGTCGCCTTTTAGCCAAATAAGGTGATTCCTTTTCTTACCCGCCCCTTCCCTCTGTTTCTATTTTGTGCTTCTTCTTATGCTCCTTGCCCTCGCGCGTCTGGTGTGCTTTTCCCACTCAGCTTAAAAGGAAATGCCTTGGAAACGACTGCTACGCATGAAAGAGAGTTGGAGGGTCCCCAATAAGTTATTCGGTATCCGAGATCTGGCTTATTCTTAGGCTGGGGATATTGAATTTTAAGAAAATTGGAGAGGGAGATGCGGAATTTTAATATTATTAGCTCCCTATAAACCAACCTCGTCTCCAGGGCCTTTCCCTCAAAAATTGGGTGGGGCGGGAAAATGCCCTGGCATCGGCTGGTCACGTGTCCCCTACTACACCCTAAAAAACCTGGGTGTAATAAATTAGCGCTATGCGAAAAGCTAAAATTATGCGTAACCTCACAGAACGCGATCTTGGGCGACCTTTTATATCTACGAAAAGTTTTACACGATTTTCTTTTTGTCACAGACACTGGCTATTGTAATTTTTTGCTTTCCTCCGATTTCTATGAAGGGGAAAGCGAATGGTAACCGTTTATCGAAGCTTACTGTCGAAATAGGCCATCAAATTTGATGGGCTCCTGAAATAGGCCATTTCCGAGTTCCAAAATCGCTATTTCAAAACGAGGCTAAAAGCAATACCCAGTTCTTGTGAAAATAAGTTTTATTTGCGTGAGAATCAAAAACCACTTTCATATCAATGGCTTAGCACCCAGCCTCGCTTTGAAACAGAGGCTAGGGACAACTTGGAAATGGTTCAGCGGCGAGCCGAGGACTACTTCAGAGCGGAAAAACGTAATGAGCATGCGTGAACTTTATGCCCAGGCTCCTGCGGCAATTTGAAAACAATGGCGGGCTTTTAACTTTTTCCTGCAAACCAAAAAATGCTTCCCCACCAATCCTGGTAAGTATCAAAATGTTTACCTCGAAATTAGCAACCTATGATAACAGCCTCTTGATATCTAATCTTTTTATAAAATTATCTTTTATTAAAATGGACTTAAACGCCATTAATTTCCACGCGCTGTGCTGCAAAATTGCGTGCGAAGGTCCGTAACGCATTCTCGGTGAGTATCCCGGTGACATCACAGCTCATGGTAGAGTCCAGGAATGACCGAGCCGAAAACGCATGGGGACTACAATATTCCGGACTGTTTATACAGCCACGATGAGCAATATCTTTCATGACATACATAAAAGGTTTTCTTTTTTTCGTGAGTATGGGATACCAGTTCTCTTCAACCACATTTCCCGATATCTCTTTTCATTAATTAAATCGCTAAGTTTCGTATCCCGTTTATAGGCAACCTCGTCCCCAGGGCTTTTCCCTTAAAAAAATGGGTGGGGCGGGAAAAGGCCCTGGCGTCGGCTGGTCACGTGCACAGCCTAAATATTCCTGAGAAGCTAATTTATCTGCAACCCGCTGGTTTTGCGCTGACAAACAACAACAACAACAACAACAACAACACTTTATTCACATTTCCATTACAGGGTTTGTCAAACTTATTGAATAATTATTAACTTAACACGTAGAATATTCAATTACAATTTAAACTAAATATTATTACATAGAAGGAAATGCCTAGCGGCTAGATAACAGTAAGGTTTTCGAGCTAGCAACTAGTTCTTTGAAAGTAGTGTCGAATGTACAGGACATCACAATAACTAGACATACAAAACATCTTAAGACATACGCACACCATGAAAAAAAAAGAAGAAAGCACATAGATGGCAAAAAAAAGAAGAGAAAACAGTCATCATAGTACATGACGATATGATTAAAATAAAATAATTTCAGTAAGTTAATTGTTCGGCCAACAAGTATTCTTTTAATGTTTTAGGAAAGTTATAAGTTGAAAGGTCTTTTATATGGGTAGGGAGCTGTTGCCCCAGGAGGTTATCGCATAAGATATATAAGGATAGATCAGGTTATAGTATAGTTGTTTAAGTTGTAAAAGGGAGGTGCAGTGTCTGAGTTTGCCAACAATTCCTGTGTTTCTAGAAATTCGAGTACATAAATAAGACACCTGATGTTTCCATGATAGCGTGTCATCTATAAGTACGCCCAAATATTTTATGTAAGTTCTCTTTTCTAAGCCGTAGGTGGAGCCATCATTGTTAGTTAATTTTACATCCCATGTTATATTTGTCTTCTTTTTAGGTGACTTAATTATCATATAATTAGTTTTCTTTAAGTTGATGGATAGCTTGTTTAAGTCACACCATTCTTTAACTTTGGATAATTCATGGTTAATTAAGTTTTGTAATTCCACGGCATTTGAGGAAGACACAAAAATATTGGTATCATCTGCAAATATTCTAAAGGACAATTTATCGGAGCAGTTAGGGATATCATTAATGTATAATATAAAAAGGAGGGGACCAACAGAACTGCCTTGCGGGATACTAATAATAATACTCTTTTGCCTTTCTCTCGGTAGTTCAACAAAGCACGTTTCAAAACCGTCAGAAGAAAACTCTAGGTCCCGCCTGCGAAAAAAATTCAGGTTTTGTTTTATGTAAATACCAACTCCCCCAGCATTCGTTCTAGAATTCACACCAACAAAATTGTAACCAGGTATATTAATATTGTGAAGATGCTGATTATTGTCGTTTAGCTTAGTTTCAGAAATAGTTATAATGCTAGGCATTTCCTTCACGGTTATCAAAATATCATTAAGCAGACATAAATTCTTTCCTAAGCTCCGAATATTACAATTGAATATTGAGAAGCTCTTGAGTTAAATTTTTGAAAGCACGTGCCAGATTGCTTGATTGTGTAGTATTTTGACTCTATCTTTAAATTTCCTAAAATATTCA